ACAGAAGCCGCCCGAGCTTCCCTCCCCCGCCCCGTGTCCCCTCGGCACCTGCCCACGCTCGTCACGTCCGGGCCCTTCCGTGGGCTCGGGAAACGGTGTGACCAGACTGGGGCCCTGTGCTCCGCGCGCTTCGCTCTGTGCCCAAGACGGGCGGGGACCTCCCTGAAACCACACAGCTGGCGGCACCCCGAGGCCTAGAAACACGTTTTATGTGCACGTAAATCCATGCTTTGTGGGGAACGCAAAGTACCACTGCCTGGCCGAACCATGCAGAGCAGTTGTGGAAGTTTGATCACAGACGGTTGTGTGTGTCTAAGACGATGCGTTCGTTCTGCGGGGAGATCTCCAGGGCTGGGCCAGGGACGGGAGATGTGGTGTTAGGGCTCACGTGCACGCCATGTGTCAGGCTGTCTGTCCACGGGGTCCACGTACACTCCGTGTCTCAGCGTGGTCTGTCCACGGGGTCCACGTACACGCCAGGACTCGGCGTGGTCTGTCCACGGGGTCCACGTACACGCCGTGCCTCAGCGTGGTCTGTCCATGGGGTCCACGTGCACGCCGTGCATCAGCGTGGTCTGTCCACGGGGTCCATGTACACGCCGTGCATCGGTGTGGTCTGTCCATGGGGTCCACGTACACGCCGTGCCTCAGTGTGGTCTGTCCACGGGGTCCACGTACACTCCATGCATCAGCGTGGTCTGTCCACGGGGCCCACGTACACGCCGTGCATCAGCGTGGTCTGTCCACGGGGTCCACGTGCACGCTGTGCATCAGCGTGGTCTGTCCACGGAGCCCACGTCGCTCAGAAATGACCGGCGAGCGTTCCCGGACGTCTGTGCAGTATTCATGCCATGGCAGCAGAGCCATCTGGCACCGTTGCTGGTGTGGCCCCGTCAGTACACGGCTCCCGCCGCGTGTACACCATCATCCCCTGCCCCATCTGCAGCACAACCTCCCTGTCCGTGTGCACACAGACGCCCACCCTGGGCCCTGCCCCGTCCCGCTCGAGCAGAGACCTCTTACGTTTGTCCGTCTCCTGCCTGCTCTGAGAGTCCCCGAGCTCAGAGTGGCCCCGAGCCCAGCAGGAACGTGGTCTCAGGACGGGTGCCCATGTTGCACACTGCACGATGGGGGACACACGAGGGTCTCTCAGCAACGCCCGACCTGTGTCCTAGGAAAGACCACGTTGATCAAGGCGCTGACGGGAGACGCCGCCATCCAGCCCCGGGACCAGCTGTTCGCCACGCTGGACATTACGGCGCACGCGGGTTCGCTCCCCTCGCGCATGACCGTCCTCTACATGGACACCATCGGCTTCCTCTCCGAGCTGCCGCACGGCCTGATCGAGTCCTTCTCCGCCACCCTGGAGGACGTGGCCCACTCCGTGAGTGTGGGAGGGGCTGGGGGCCGGGGTCCCTGGACACACACACTACCCGGGGACAGAGCGCAGCAGGTCGGCAGGCGGGCCTGGGCAGACCTGTCCAAGAGACGCAGGAGGACCCCAGAGGGACACCGGCCAGAGGGGACGTCAGGGAAAAGCTGCTGGAATTTGGGCGAAGCCTGGGGTCGGGTGACTGGCATGTCCCGCGCCGGCCTGCGGTGACAGGCACACAGCCGTGCTGCAGGGGAACAGCCGGGAAGGGGGCTGAGGGCCGGGGCGGCTCCCCTGTCTTGGCGGTTCTCTGAGATTCTAAAACTCCTCTGAAATAGAAAGATGATGTAAAAGAATTTAGGCGCATCCAAACAAAAACCAAAAGTGCATCCAGCCCCAAACCCCGATGTCGTTACCGCACGGTGGACTAGGGCCTCTTCCTGGTGGCAGAATTATGCAGGGATTTTCTCTTGTGTGTTTTCCAAATTTTGCATAATGCACTTATCTATAAAATTGGGGGGAAAAAAGGGAACTTTAAAACAGGAAATCGTCTAAATCCTTTTTGCAAGTTCTCACAGACGGACACGGCAAGCCCGGAGCTCTGAAGGAAGCCCGGCGGGCGGGCTGGGTGGCGCATCTGAGCCCTGCCCTGGGCCCGTCCGCGGGCGCGGGGCCGGGGACGGTGGCCCTGCAGCTCTGACCACCAGCCTGTCCTGCAGGACCTGATCGTGCACGTGCGGGACGTCAGCCACCCCGAGACCGAGCGCCAGAAAGCCAGCGTCCTGTCCGCGCTGCGCGGCCTGCGCCTGCCGGGCCCGCTGCTGGACACCATGGTGGAGGTGCACAACAAGGTGGACCTGGTGCCCGGGTGAGTGGCACCTACCAGGTTTTCTTCCTGCACATGGGGAGCCGGGGCAGCCGCGGCAGCCGCCTCCTAGGTCCCCCGGGCTGCGTGCTCAACCCCGAACAAGCGGGTCTGGGACTCCGGTGAGCCGCCCCCAGGCCTGCTGCCCGCAGCTTTCTCACCCCCGCGTACGCCCGGTGGGGTTGGGATGAGCCCACGGCACCCGGCTCCCGGCCACAGCCTGTCCCAGGGGGCACCCACAGGCCCCACTCACCTGGCCGTCTTCCCGCCTTTCCGGTCGTTGCCGCCATGCTCAGCCGGACACAGTTCTCTCCCGTCACGGGTCACAGCCGGGGCACACGGAGCCCCCCAGGCCGGGCCCTGTCGGCGGGGGAGACTCGGGGACATCCGTCTGGGCGGGTGGACCCAGGCCCCACGGTGACTCCTCTGAACACGTGGTCCCCAGTCTGGGCCCCCTCAGCGGGTGACTCTCGGGAACCCTGTGTCTGCGGGACGTGCCCCCAGCCTGAGCGGGGTCTGTGCCGTCTCCACCCCACACAGGTACAGCCCCGCGGAACCCGGCGCCGTGGCCGTGTCCGCCCTCCTGGGCCGTGGGCTGCAGCAGCTCAAAGCTGAACTCGAGGAGGCGGTTCTGCGAGCGACGGGGAGACAGGTGCTCACCCTGCGCGTGCGGCTGGCGGGGGCCCAGCTCAGGTGAGCAGCCTCCCCGGGCGGGAGGGCGCGTGCCCCGGGCCTCTGGGTGCGTGGGGAGAGCCGTGCGTGCCAGGGACTTCCGGATGCACAGACCCACTGGGGTGTTTCTGGACAGGCCGAGCAAGTCTGTGTCCTGCTCCCACGTGCAGAGTCCAGGGGCCTCGCCTGCACCCGCTGACCCTGACCCTGCACCCACGAACCCTGACCCTGCATCCACTAACCCCGACCCTGCATCCACTAACCCTGACCCTGCACCCGCTAACCCTGACCCCGACCCTGCATCCACTAACCCTGACC